CCTTACCTCCCAGCTAAACCGCCTTGCCCCTCTACTCACTGACATTGTGTCCTGGAACGAGTTGTTGCTTCCCAGCTTCGCTCCTTCCTTTCCCGCCACTCCCTTCACAAACCCCTCCAATTGGGTTTCCGTGCTGCACAGAAACCGCTCTGGTCAAAGTGACAAATGACATTCTGTCCATCTGCGACCAGGGCTCCCTCTTCCTCCTCGTCCTCCTTGACCTCTCTGCTGCTTTCGACACCGTCGACCACTCTATCCTCATCCACTGCCTCTCCTCTCACCTCAACCTCCACGCTGTCCTCGATTGGTTCAGATCCTACCTCTCATATCGCCTCCACTTCATCTCCTCAAATGGTTTCTCCTCCAGCCCCCACACGTCTCATGTGGCGTTCCTCAGGGCTCTGTCCTTGTTCCCCTCCTTCAATATCTATATGCTTCCTCTTGGTGACATCATCCGCAGACATGGGATCAACTTCCACATGTATGCGAATGACACCCAACTCTATCTCTCTGCCTCCACCCTCGACTCCAGGACCCACTGCTGTCCTGACAGAGTGTCTGTCAGACGTCAAGTCCTGGATGAGAGACAACTTTCTTCAGTTGAACGTCAACAAGACCGAGGCTCCTGATTGGCTCCCGTCAGCGCGTTCTCACCTCAGGCGCTGACAGCATCACCATCCATGGGGCTCACTCCCCCTCACTGAGCTGGGCAGGAACCTTGGGGTCTTGTTTGACCCTCAACTATCCTTTCTACCCCACATCTGCACCATGACCCGCTCTGCTTTCCCCACCTCCACAACATCGCCCCACTCTAACACTGTCTCACACCACAGGGCTCTGAAACCCTCACACACGCATTCATTTGTGGAGTCCTGTAGCTCAGTGGTTAGAGCACTCGCTTTGCAAACGAGAGACCTGAGTTCAATTCCAGGCAGAGGGCGAAACCTTGGGCAAGTTTCCTTACTCCACACAGAGCCTAATAATAATCCTCCAAAACCAAAAACAATAATAAATCGGTCATTTTCAATCTACGACTGTTTGTGGGACATTGTTGTGCGCAATTGGCTGCCGCGTTCGCCCACAAATATACAGTCAATTCACTTTACAGTGTGTTCTGTGAAGCGCTTTGGGACGTCCTCCCGACGTGAAAAGCGCTATATCAAATGCAAGGATTATTATTATTATTACTTTGAGGCTCGACTCTACAAACTCACTGCTTGTCGGCCTCCCCAACTCCTCCCTCCACAGGCTGCAGATCATCCAGAACTCTGCAGCCCATGTCCTCTCCCACACTAGGCTCCAAGACCCTATCACCCCCATCCTCGCCCGACTCCATTGACTTCCCATCCCACAGAGGATACAGTTCAAGATCCTGGTCTTCACCTTCAAAGCCCTCCACGATCTTGCTCCCCCCACCTCTCTAACCTCCTAACCCCCTACCACCCTGCTCGCTCCCTCCGCTCAGCAGGCTCTGGCCTGCTTCATATGCCCCACCTCGCTCGCCCCACTATCGGCAGGTGGGCCTTCCGCCACCCTGCACCCAACCTCTGGAACTTCATCCCCAAATCCCTCCATCTTGCTCCCTCCCTCACCACCTTCAAGACCCACCTCAAGACCCTCCTCTTCGACTGTGCTTTCGATTTCCCTGCTCCCCCCCGGCCCTCCCCCACCCCAACCCTCAGCTCGGGTCCATAACTCTGTCTGTCCTATGCCTTGGGACGTCTTCCCAACGTGAAGGGCGTTATACAAATATCATTTTGTTGTTGTTGTGTTTCGCCCGCAAAATGTACAGTCAATTCACTTTACAGTATATTTTGTGAAGCACTTTAAGACGTCTCGAAGACGTGATAAGGCGCTATATCAAATGCAAGGATTATTAGTGTCATGTGGGCGGGGTGGGGGAGATGAAGAGTATTGTCACGGTCGGTCCATGGTCAACATTGGCACGGAGGCCTGAGATAGTGGAGGGAGAGGATCAGTTGCCTTCAGCCCGACTTGAAAGATGCTATATATGATGCAGTTTGTTGTCGCTGCTTCGCATGTTAATCTCTCAGCTTTTCCAATTCCATCATTTGTCCGGGAATTTCAGGGATAACTGAGATCCTGAACCAAAGCGGGACCTATTTATTTAACCCTTTCATTGCTTCTACCGTTACATCCATTATTTGAGAACAACTTCCATTTATATAACCCTCTTCACGCGAGGTAGCATCCCGGAGTGCTTGAACAATGGATGATAGCGCTAAAGATTCCTCCTTTCCCTGTCACACTCTCTCTTTTTCTCCATCTCTCTCTTTCACGCTCTCTCTCTCTCTTTTTATCTAGTCAGTCCTAGCATCCAGTCTTGGCGTCATTTCAATGCAGCGTTCTGAAAGATTACTCCCAGCTGCCGACCAACGGTGACATTTCCATTCCCCTTTCTTGTAGCTTGTCAGCAGAAGATTGAAAAATTAGTGGCAATCAGTGTTAGATTCTGAGCAGTTCAGGGCTGTAAATTCAGTGAGTATAGATCAGGATTGAGGTTGCCATTACTCATTTCTCTTCTGATGCCTGACAGGTGTCAGAGGAGAGAGAGAGAGCGAGAGAGACCTGCATTTTCTCTGGAGAGGACGTGCAACGATTGTTCAGGTGAAATGACAGTGATCGAACGTGTTTTCTCAAAACTTTCACGTTGTGCAGAAGTTTGCCTTGTGCTTTAGATCAGCCAAAGCAGCAACGATACTTTGTCAAACTAAAAGTCACAACGTGATAAATCGGCATCGTGTTATCACCCTTTTTATCTTTATTGTAAATTATTCTGAAAAAGAAAATTTGAAAGAATCCAGAATTGTGTTTATCATCAGGGAAACACGATCACATTCACTTTAATTCTCTTCGTATTCCACAAGAGATGAAGAAGGCCCTTCAGTCTATTTCATCCCATCCATCAGGAACAACCCCTTCCGTCTGGAACAGTAGAACCACAGGATACGGCCTGTGATTGATGGAGGGTAAACTCAAAACAAATCTGCATCAACACTATTCCAAGTGAATGAGCAGTAAATCTATAGAACAGGCTCCCGAGGGAGACGGCGGAAGCAGAAAGCCTCGACTCTTTCAAATGCAAATTAGGTAGATTACTTTTAGGAAATAATATTTGGGGATATAGTGTACGAGTAGTGCAGGACGTGATGTGTTCATGCAACTGCCAAGATAGTGGAAGGTAAACTGGATGGTGGAAGGCGAACTCAAGTGCTCTGGGACGCTATCCTGTTTGAGGGGCACTATATCAATGCCAGTTTGTTGTTGTTGGATGGACCTTGGTCTTTGTTTGTTTAGCATTTGCTAGGTTCTTATGTTCCTCCTGTTACAGCAACCTGGATATTAAATGATTTCCTATTGTCCCAACCTCAACCATACAGGACATGTGGAGTCCTGTAGCTCAGTGGTTAGAGCACTCGCTTTGCAAGTGAGAGACCTGAGTTCAATTCCAGGCAGAGGGCGAAACCTTGGGCAAGTTTCCTTACTCCACACAGAGCCTAATAATAATCCCTCCAAAAAACCAAAAAAAAACAATAATTAAAAATTGGTCATTTTCAATCTACGACTGTTTGTGGGACATTGCTGTGCGCAATTGGCTGCCGCGTTCGCCCACAAATATACAGTCAATTCACTTTACAGTGTGTTCTGTGAAGCGCTTTGGGACGTCCTCCTGACGTGAAAAGCGCTATATCAAATGCAAGGATTATTATTATTATTATTCTTCCTGGCAAATTGTCCCAATAATTCGTTACTTTTGGTGTGACTAAATATATTTGTACAGAAATTCCCCTTTGCAATCTAACACCTGTGTCCTCTCATTCTGCTCACAGTGTTGCCAGACTACAAGAGTAAGCTGGTTGAGGACACTGGTCTAAATCATTTATATCCAAGTGTTTGCACTTGTCTCACAATACTGTAACAGGTGCTGTGCTTATTAAGGTTGGTATGGAATCATGTGTTGTCAGTATCACTATAAGGATTTGTTTAATTACATGGTAAGTCTTTAGAAAAGGCCTTTTGTGGAGCAGCAGTTTCCACAAACTGTCATTTATTGTTACTCTTTCTTACAGACTCTTTACATTTTAAAAATAATTCCCAATTGGCTTTGACAAGAACGAGAAGCCACATTGATTTCTTTGAGAACTCTTACATTGTTTGAAAAAGAATTTCAGTTTAGTGACTTGCGATTTAGATTTTTTTGGGGCGAAGATTTTTTTTGAGACGCATTGACAACGTGATAAATTGTCCCGACATCTCAAATTATATGTCAAATATAAGGATTATTATTATTATGTTATTACAGCTTAAATCACTCTGTAGAGGTAGTTTCTAAGTGGTTTTCAGTGAAGGGCAGCCAGACTAATAACACAGCCACGTTATGCTTTAGTGGATGTTACTTTTCTTAATATATTTGAGCTTCCTCGAAAAGCTATTTTGTAGCAGGAGATTGAAATTTAATTCACAGTTATTTTGTCGCCATCTCTGAATCATCTTATTAACAGTCCCAGTTTTATCGATGATTACAGGAACTATGTTTGATCGATATACTTCCTGATTCTCTCTACTTCCTTATTTTTCACATTGTAATCATTTGGTGTAGTCAGATCAGATACATGTACAATCTATTTGATTCTTTATGATATTATCTGGTCTGTGACAGCTGATTGTCCTGTCTGTATATGTTTGTGAATCCCAGATTATTGGTTTCTCAATGTCACTTTTGCTGGTTGATGTTTATACCAGTTGGTCTTTAAATCAATATCAAAGTGTTTACAAATTGTCCTATGAATAGATTTAGCCTCATTATTATGTCTAATCACTTATTCTGTTTGTGCTGGGGCTGGACAAGATAAAAAATTTATTCTTATTATCATTATGGTTGTGTTTTGTTTCTTTGTCTCTGAACCCGTCTCTCAGCCACATGTACGTTGGAGCTTTTCACTCATGTGTCATTGGATATTCTGACCTTTCTCTTGCAGGTTGACTGGAATGAATCTGCCATCTCCCGTCATCAGCAGTAAAAACTGGTTACGGCTCCATTTCACGTCCGATAGTAATCACAAGCAGAAAGGTTTTAACGCTCAGTACCAAGGTAAGGCCTTATTGTGTCTGAAAGTGTTTCTGCATGATCGTGTGCACTTCAATCTCCACTGAAATCAATAACAACAACTTGTATTTATATAGCACCCTTCCCGCAGGGGAGAGTCCTGGAGCATTTCACAATGGTGGATTCTGACAACGAGCCAGATGGAGAGGGAGAGGGGAGGTGGCTAAAACCACGATCAAAAAGGAAGGTCTTTAGGCGGAATTTGAAGGCGAGGAGGGAGGTGGCACGGCGGAGAGATTGAGGGCACACAAAAGTACATACATTTGCTTACATTTAACACAGAGCCCCGCCTTTCATGTCTGCAGCATGTCCCAAAACACTTCATAGGATTTACTGTAAAGTAAATAAAGTAACTGTAAAGTACAGTGAATGTGGTTTGCACACAGCAACATCCCATAAATTGCCGTGAAGTGAATGACCAATTTTGGAGGGGGTTGTTGGCCAGGACACCAAGAGAAACTCCCTTCTCCTTTTCAAATAGTGCAATGAGATCTTTAACATCCAGCTGAATAGGCAGAAGGAACCTTGGTTGAACATCTCATCTGAAGATCGGCACTCTCACACTGCATTGGAGTGTCACCTCGCTCACCGTCCTCACCTCGCTCACCGTCCTCACCTCGCTCACCGTCCTCACCTCGCTCACCGTCCTCACCTCGCTCACCGTCCTCACCTCGCTCACTGTCCTCACCTCGCTCACCGTCCTCACCTCGCTCACCGTCCTCACCTCGCTCACCGTCCTCACCTCGCTCACCGTCCTCACCTCGCTCACCGTCCTCACCTCGCTCACCGTCCTCACCTCGCTCACCGTCCTCACCTCGCTCACTGTCCTCACCTCGCTCACCGTCCTCACCTCGCTCACTGTCCTCACCTCGCTCACCGTCCTCACCTCGCTCACCGTCCTCACCTCGCTCACCGTCCTCACCTCGCTCACCGTCCTCACCCCGCTCACCGTCCTCACCTCGCTCACTGTCCTCACCTCGCTCACCGTCCTCACCTCGCTCACCGTCCTCACCTCGCTCACCGTCCTCATCTCGCTCACTGTCCTCACCTCGCTCACTGTCCTGACATCGCTGTGTGTAGTCCTGTTTCTCCAGCCCTGTTGTTATTTTTGCTACATTTTCGTGATTAGGTTAATCTTTACCCAGTCCCCAGGACAACAACAGATTATACAGTGCCTTTTCATGTCCAGAGGACGTATCAAAGTGCTTCCTTCAGGCGACTGCGAGCCTGTGCTGGAGCGCGGGTTGTGTCTGTTGGGCGGGTGTGGGAGGAGAGATGAGTAGGGCTGGTCTGTTCACAAATAGGTTGTTTCTCTCATGATTCATCTGGAGGGGGAATCCAGAAGAAGGGGGCATAATATTAAAATTACAGCGGGGCCATTTAGGAGTGAAATTAGGAGCAATTTTTCACCCAAAGGATAATGGAAATCTGGTCCCCAAAAGGCTGTGGATTCTGGATCCATTCCTATCTTAAAGACTGAGATGGACAGCTATTTATTAGGTCAGGGTATCAAGGGATATGGGGCAAGGGCAGGTAATTGAAATTGAGGCAGATCAACCATGATCTTAAAGAATGGCAGAACAGGCTTGAGGGACTGAATGGACTCCTCCTGTTTCTATGTTTCTATAACAGGTGTGAATGAATTTCATCTCCTGCATGGGTGTTACCACCAAACCTTCTGTTCACTCAATGGAAGGCACAGAGACATGGCACTCTTTGCTTAAAGATTCTCTGTTCAAACCCTAGCCTTGAATTTGTTAAATAGCCTTGGCTCATGTATCTGTACGGATGCCTTCACTTCCCACGTCTCGGCTCCGTACTGTGACTGCCTTCATTTCAATCTCTCCCCGACGATAATTCAGGCTCATTGGCAAGTTACACAGCAAACCCGAGAAATAATTTGGTAACATTTGATTTGAAACCTCATGCGTGACTATAATTACATATTAATAAAGCGGTAATTACATTGCTAATTCACGCCAATACCTTGGTAATTACATAGTGTTTCATTATTACTGAACGCGTTGGTACTTTAGCAGTTGATGTATAGGAATCGCCATGTATTTCATTCAGAATAAATTAAGCACAGTGCAATGTGTTATTGCCGCAAATGTTTATTTGCTAAATAAATCAGCAAATTAAAATAATTCAAACATTTAGAAATCCAAACTACAGGAGGCTATGTAGAATTTTATTAGGAATTATTAATATCAGTGGCATCCAACGTCATGTTTAGGTGTTCAGGTGACGGAGGCTGTAAAACCCATCTGGGTTAAATTACTGCCTTGAAATTGGTCCTGATGTTTTTCTTTGTAAATGTTTTATTTGCTGTGTTTTTCCCCTCTCTCTGTTCCATAACCTTCTTGTCACTGAGATCCACTGTCAGCACAGTCTCCATCAGCTCTCCTGTGTCTCTAATGCAACAATATTGTCTAAAAATAGATTGAAGATTTCAATTTGTATAGAATTTCAGAGTTGTTTTATATTGTGAACTCACATTCTCCAAACAAAACCCTGTTTTAAAGTCTTTAAACTTATTTCACCAGGGATCTTGTTGCATTATAATGTCTTGTAGTAACTGATTTTATTGCACCTCACTTACATGCTTGTGGAGATATATTGTTGCATCCCAAATTGCTAGCAATCCTTTTTATTCAGAATGAAATGCTTTGTAATTACACAGGCAGCAGCAATAGTTATTACTATAATTGCTGACTTATCAAAGTGCAATTACAAAGCTATTCATGGAATTTCAAACTAAGACATTGCTGTATTTCTTTTGGAGAATGTCTGATTAATAGGGAATTTGAAAGGAGAATGTCTCACATTATTTCTTGTTGTAGTTATGAATAATCAAGATTTACTTAATAATAATAATAATCCTTGCCTTTGATACATTTTTACACATCGGGAGAATGTCTCAAAACTCTTCCCAGGAGTTACTGTAAAGTGTAGTTACTGTGTGTTTTTGAAGGCAAGCACAGTAATTATGCCCCACAAACAGCAGCAAAATAAGTGACACACTTTATCTGTTGGATTGTTGGCCAGGACACTATTGTTGAATAGTGTCGTGGGATCTTTAACATCCACCTGAACAGACACAGCTGGAATCTTGGTTCAACATCTCATCTGAAGGAAGTCAGGTGGTCGTTAAGAATCTTTTAACACTATTCGAAAAGAGAATGGACTTTCTTCTCTGGTGTGCCAGCTGACAATCCCCCCCCCAGGAAATATTGGTCGTTGGTTGTATGTGGGAAATTGCTTGTGCAAATTGGCTGCTGGGTTTGCCCACAAAATACACATTTCACAATAATTACTGTAAAGCTCTTCGAGATGTTTTGCCATCATAGGCATTATATCAAATGCAGAAATGATTACATACATTTATATATAATAATAATAATAATCCTTGCATCTGATATAGTGCCTTATCATGTCTTCGAGATGTCTCAAAGCACTTCACAGAATAGACTGTAAAGCGAATTGACTGTATATTTTGTGGGCGAATTGCACCAATTGCGCACAGCAGCGTCCCACAAACAGTCATGCATTGAAGTGACCAATTTATCATTATTATTACTATTACTTTTGATGGAATTATTATCCCTGGAAAAGTGATCCACCAATCAGCTAACAACCGGGTTCCTGCTTACTGCTAGGTAAACAGAGGTGTGTGGAGTAAGGAAACTTGCTCAACGTTTCCCCCTGCCGGGAATCAAACCCAGGTTGCAAAGCGTTTGCTCTGACCATTGAGCTACAGGACTCCACATATCCACAATATGTGGTGAATTATTGTGAATTAATTGATATAATAATTTGATATAATAAGACAGTTATAAAACCGCACTCGACAGGTCACCAGGGTAACAGAGCGGGACACAAAAACTCGGTGCAAGTCAACCAGCCTCGGAGAGATGAAGCTCACATCAGGCAGCGTTTGGTAAGGGAATTCAGAGCAGGAATGGCTTGCCCCCAGTGACCACCACCGTCTCCCCGGTGATGCAGGCTGTATCGGGTGAGCTCCCGGCGCACTCCTCTGGCTCCAACGTCCTGCCAGTGGGGATGGAGGCCAGGATCGGCCTGGCAATGGTTGGCTCAGACCACAGTGCAGATGAGCCCGGGGGCCACCCAGTGGATATTGATGGGGGCGAGCTCTTCGGCCAGCGACTTGGTCAGCCCCAGAAGAGCCGTCTTGCTAACAATGTGGGCACCGAGAGGCCCAAAGGGCATGAAGCCTGCGATGGAGCCCATCAGCACAATGCAGCCTCCTCCTCGCTGCTTCATGTGGGGCACCACCAAATGTGCCAGGAGTGCCACCTCGGTCACGTTGACCTGGAAGATTTTGGCCCATTGCTCTTCAGTACAGTCCAGGATGTTGCTCATTGCAGGGTTCACGGCAGCGTTTGACACCAGGATGTCCATGGCCCCGAACCATGCCAGGTTCTCGGCCAACAGCCACTCCCGCTCCTCCTGCCGCCCCACGTGACAAGCTCAGGCCCTCAGCCCGCAGCCCGGCCACCACCAGCTCCACCTTGGCCGCCCCCCTCACCCCACCACCCCCTGGCTGCTCAGCATCACCAGGCCACCCCCAGCCCCATCCCCTCGCTCTAGGCCATCACCAGCGGCACCAAGTGGGGGGAAGGGGGGGGGTGCGAGGCGCTGAGCCTGGGAGAGAAGGCGAGGCGGTGGAGCCGGTGGCATTGCCCAGACCGAGACCGAGCCACGCTAACCGGGTAAAAACACCGAGCCGCGACTCGCAGCCCGCAGACACCAGCATCACGGCAACTTCCGGCACTCAGAATAACCTAATATACATATACCTAGAGGCTGGGAATCCAGATGGTTTTAGTGCCAAGTGTATACAGCGATCCTCAGCTGGAAATAAAATGTTATGGAATGGAACACTTCACGAGCTACCGACTTGTGACTCAAAAGCCTCACGTGGGGAGGAATTAGCAAGTCTCCTGGAACACTAGTACATAACAGAAAATCTGTGCCCTTTCGTGCATTCCAAATGATTGTTGCTGCCATTTGCAATTATTTCTACGTGCATCTTTAACAGGAGACGCTTCTAGTACACTTCAGTGGGTCATTAGTGCTTCAGATGACTTGTTGCAAATGCAGTTCGGGTCCTGAATCCCACGGAAGATCACATTAACCTATTAAATTCATTGTTTACTGTGTGCGGACATAATTACTGTAGCACTCAAAGCCTCTCTGGGTTGTTCTCCTGGAGACCAGCGACCGATAGAAAAACAATTTCAGGTGAAGCTTCTTAACGCAAAGTTGTTATAAAAAACCATCAGCTGATATACTAACTGTAACAGCCGAGCTCATCACTGACCCCAGTCTCACCACGACACAAAGGATGAAGCAGGAATCACATTCGGTCCAGCCCAGAGGTAGCGATCCTTTACCGTCGCCCAAACCACACACATTTTTCTTTATGGAATTTTTGTTCATTTATGGCTGTGCCGTGGGTATCAGGGCAGGCGGCCACTGGAAACAGGGCAGTGAGTGGGTTTGCCTGGACAGCTGGACACTTCGTAACATCCCAAAAGTGGCCACCACTGCACCAGTATAATGTACACGCGTACATACACACACACAGATACACAGATACACACACAAACATACACACACACACACAGATACACACACAAACACACACACATATATACACACAGATACACACACAAACACACACGCATATACACACACACAGATAAACGCACACACACAGATACGCATACACAGGTACACACAGACATCCACATAGATAAACACAGACATACAGACATAGATGCCCACAGACATTCACACAGATACACATACAAACACACACAGACATCCACACAGATACACACAAACACACTCACAAAACACCCCCCACCATGGCACGCACGCACGTACACCCACGCACACCCACACACACGGATACACCTACGTCCCCTCATAAAAGTTGCCTGACTGCGGTCTCTCCCCTGTCAGGCCCGCTGAGCACAGCAAAGGCATTTCTGGGGGGAAACTGACAATATTTGTTGGTACTTTATATTCCCGTTTCCCACCAGTCTCACTGCCCTTCACAGCTCACTCTCCCCGAGTTATAATAATAACAATAATGCTGGCATTTGATATAGCGCCATATCATGTCTTTGAAACGTCTCAAAGCGCTTCACAGGATACACTGCACCAGTATAAAGTATATTTTGTGGACGAAACGCGGCAGCCAATTGCGTACAGCAGTGTCCCACAAACAGCCGTGGATTGAGTCACCACACTATTATTTTGTTCTGTCTCCTGGTAGCAGAGGGCTGAAGTTTGGGGAACAGCGAGTGCACTTTTGTTCCCGGTGTAAATTGCTGAGCTGTTGCTGCTTCTAATCCTGCTGAGACCCCTGTGACAGTGCTCGCCATTTACTGCACAGCTGAATGCAGTGTCACCTCTCCTGCTGTCAATCAAAAAGCTACCGAAGCTGGAAACGGCGTCTGACCTTCCGCTGACAGCGACACGAGCAAAATAACTCAAACAACGAAAATAGACATCACCGGTTTGCGATGTTTTTTCTCCTTCCACAGAGCAATCCGTGAGCTGCCACTACCCTTACACTCAGCCTCGGTCAAACTCACCTACTTTTTAACAAACGTAAAACCTCGCTTTGCTTAGTTTGAGGGGGCAGCGAGAGGGAGAGGGGCTCATTGTCCAGCACTTTGGCACGTCCTCTAATGTGAAAGGCGCTATATCAAGGCAATTTGTTGTTGTTGTTGTTGATTTAACAACTCTTGAAGGAAACACCAAACAGTAGTTCAGGAGGCAGATAGACAGTAGACCAAGAAGACACAGGTTTAGAGATGTAAAGCGGCAATTTCAAGACCGACACCAGGAAGTTTTTCTTTACTCAGAGAGTAATTTTAATAATAATATCTGGAACAGATTTCCATGAAGTGGAGGGGTTGAGGCCAGGACACTGGACTTGTTTAAAAAGCAGCTGTGATGGTGGGGTGGAGCTGGTGGTGCACTGGAGGGTTGAGACCAGATGTGTCAAAGAGCTTTCTTTATCCAAACCAATCCTGTGATCTTGTGAAAGTTGCTGTGCATTCATCACACGTTACAGAGGTGATGGGATTCTCAGGGACGATGTCTGAAAACCTTACAGCGAGCGTCTGTAAAAAAATCTGTCTGCTCTGAACTAACTAACACGTGTAAGAACATCATATTGCAACATAACACTGATTTCTAACAATTCTCTCACTTGCTTTTTTGTTTTCTCCACAGTGAAAAAGCTGACTGAACTGAAGTCCAGAGGAGTCAAGTTACTTCCCAGCAAAGATAATCAGAAGACATCAGTCTGTAAGTTGTCTGTCATTCAGCGTCCCGAGTCTTAACTTGCAACGTAGAACCATGAAGAAAAACCTTGCGAAGGAATGCGAGGGTTGTTTTTTTTTGTGGTTCTACATTTTTCCACCTCATTCCTCTCAGGCAAAATAGTTCCTCACCCACAAGAGTCCAAGCACAATCGGCACTCCAGCACTCCCATTATCTAATTCACCATCTGAAGACGAATAATATTGATAATAATACCCCTCAATACATTTGATACAGCGCCTTTCACGTCAGGAGGACATGTCAATGTGCTTCACAGGATTTCCAGTAAAGTGTAGTGACTCTGTGTTTTGGGAAGCCATACTAGGGGTGGAGGGAAGGCAGATAGAAGGGTATGAATGGATGGATTCAATTGCTCTTTTAAAGAGCTAGCACAGACATCATGGGCCAAATGGCTGTAAATTTCTATGGTTTCAAAAGGAAGAGGTGAGGGGAAGCCCTGGCTCTTCAGTTCCTCATTGTGCAGAACATTGTGGCAATGAGTTCAAACTCGACCACTGAACGAAATCAAGATCTTCATCGTCACCTACAAGGCCATTCCTGGCCTCGCTCCCTCCTACCTCTCTGACCTCATATCCCCCTACTTACCTGCCCGTACCCTCCGTTCCTCTGGCTCCGGTCTGCTCCACATCCCCCGCCCCAACCGCCCTACCATCGATGGCCGGGTCTTCCTCTTGCCTCTTCCCTTTCCTCCTTCAAGGCCGGTCTCAAGACCCTTCTCTTTGATCGTGCCTTCAGCTCCCATCTCGACTCTCTACCCCCTCCTCGCTCCCTCCCTTCCCTCCCCTCACCCTGATCATTTCCCCCCTCCTCGCTCCCTCCCCTCACCCTGACCATTTCCCCCCCGCTCGGGTCCTGACCCAACTGTACAGCGCCTTGGGACGTCCTCCCGACGTGAAAGGGGCTCTATAAATGGAATCTTGTTGTTGTTGGTGTCCTGAGACAATATTCGCGTTAACATTTGAGATGTCCTCTCGAATTGAAAGGCGCACTATAAATGTAAATCCTAATGTATTGTAACATCGCGCAGGACATAATTCACAAACAATCCAACACTGTTGTGGACTGGTCAGGACGGGGAATATATCACACTGACTTAAAACCATTTACAGTCTCCCATCCCTCTTAAAACGAGGAATAGATGGAGTTAATTTAAGTCTGCCAGTCACTCTTTCCTCCTCATCCAAGGCACATTAAAACACTCGACAAAATAATTAATTGTCCCAAATGTACAGTTAATCAGGAGCAGAACAGAAAGTTGTGGTGCACCGGCAACCATTCATTCAAAAACTAAATGCCTCCTTAAAATTAATTATAACCGGTAGATTAGCAAACAAAGCAAAAAATGTTTGTAGGGCAGTAATTTTCTCTGAGCTAGTGTTGGTGTGCAGTCATTGTCACTGCTTGCCACGTCACCCTGTTGTAAAGCATTTAGGAAATATTTTAGAAATAAAAACAGAAGTGGCCGAGAACACGCAGCAGGTCAGGCAGCATCTATGGAAAGAGGGAAGTGAGTTAATGTTTCAGGTCGATGACCTTTCGTCAGAACCTGTACATTACCTAGTAGATGCTGATCAAGGAGATCAGACAGGAAATACCAAACTAAATGAATAGGAAAAGAGATTGGATTCACCAAGCCCACGCTGTGCACAGGGTAGAATTCTATATTCCCGGGCTCTGGAAAGCCAGGATACCCACAGGTGATCATGTTCTCTATCTGTATCTTTCTCGCTGATCTTCAACCTTGTCACTGTTGCAAACAGCAACCTCAGTGCAGACACCAGTGATTATTCCTTTAGCCCCAGAGGGTAATTAACAACCAAACCAGGTTGCCTCGTGTTTTGGGAGGCCAGAACATTGGACGTTTTGAAAAAATCAGCTCGATGGTGTGATGGGAGGAAGGTCATGTGGGGATTCTGAAAGGATGAGATCAGTTGGGCCAAATGGCCTTCTTCATCCAAGCCTCCTGAGTGTTTGTGTGTGTGATTGAGTGAGTGTGTGTGAATGAGTGTGTGAGTGTGTTTGAGTGAGTGAATGTGTGTGTGTGTGTGCGTGTGCTGTGTGAGTGTGTGTCACTGACCAGGTTATGCAGGCGTCTCTAGGAGGAATTGACCGAGGCAGCAGCATTCACAGGTTTTCATGTGAGTTTCTCTCCCACGTCCACTGCTCCGGAAGAAGAATATGGAGAACGAAAATTCTTCATTTTTTTTTCACTTGAAGCCTGTTCATCATTCAGTTGGATTCGCAGGTTCTGCACGTGGGGCCAATGTTAAATAACATGGGGCTCGGTACATTATAAATGGCTCTCGGTGGGTTAGCATTATGTATGTTAGACAGGTTTACAAATATCCTCTGTTCGGCACCAGCGAGCTTATTTAGCTTCCAGCAGCTTTTACTGCTTTGATGGAGTTTTGAGCCTGGCACTGACACAATACAGCTGTATCAATCTTCACTGTGTACATTGACTCGAGGAAACTTGATCACTGTGGACGTTGCTTGGGAAAGGCTTTCAAGAATTGTTCTTATTTGGAGGTGTGCCTTCACCTACCAAGTGCACAGTCACTACACAGTCACTACCCCCTCTCTTCCCACTTTCAGGTCTCAGCTGAAGACCTTTCATTTCAACCGAGCCTTTGGTCACCTTCCTCCCCCTCCCCCCGGCTCGGCCCCAAGATCCGTTACTGTGAAGCGCTCTGAGACGCCATCCGGCATGGAGGGTGCTATAATAATAATAATAATAATAATAATCCTTGCATTTGATATAGCGCTTTTCACGTCGGGAGGACGTCCCAAAGCGCTTCATCCAAGTTGTTATTGTTGTTGTTATTTCACAGCAATCCTGTTCTCTTGTGTATAGGCAGTATTCACAGGAGCCGGATGTGCCCAAAACCAGCTTACCCGGGGTGACAATTCAATACAATTTGTATTTATACAGCACCTTTCACATCGGGAGGACATCCCCAAGACCCTTGACAGTCTTGGCCGGGCACCTGAGCTGAGGGTAGGAGCCAAAGGGAGCAGGGAGGGGAAAGATAACTGGGGGTCCAGTCAAAGACGAAGGTCTTGAGGCAGATGCTGAAAGAGATAAGGGAAGGATCGTGTTGTAGGGTCCTCCAGATGCAGTTCCAGACAGTGTTGTTTGCCTCGAGGTGTCTGACATCTATATGGTGGACATTTGGATCAAGTCCCCCCATCACTTAGCTTTTCTATAATGAAAAGTATAACATGGATTAGGTCAGCTCTAACTTTTTTAACAGCAGCTTTTATCATTAATATTTATGTGGGTGTTATCATGATAAAAATCCATGTAGAGCAATAGCCTTCAGCCTTTCAATGGGGAACAGTTTCCTACTGAATGTTTATAGGATAATAATAATAATAATCCTTATATTTGAGATTATGCCTTATCATGTCAGGAGGACTTCTCAAAACAATTCACAGCATTTACTGTAAAGTGGAGTGACTGTGTATTTGCAAGAGAACATGGCAGCCAATTTGTGCACAGCAATGTGCCCCAAACAGCCATGAAGGAGTTACCAAATTTATTCACAGGACTGTTAACCAGGACACCAGGAGAAACTCCCTCGTCTTTTCAAGTAGTGCTGTGGGATCTTTAATATCCATCTGAACAGATAGAAGGGACAACGGTTTAACACCTCATTCAAAGGATGCCACCTCCAACAATATAGCATCCATCCCCCACCCACCCCCAGACTACACTACGTGAGTTCCAAGAGGTTTCCCCTAATTGTGTTGATTGTCTTCCTAGTTGCTGGTTCTCCAGTGCTTGTGTTGAAGGAGATCAGCTCCAGTGAAATCAGTGCTTCACATTGTTATCGCAGAGAAAATGTCCATCAACATTTGCTGCCTATCCATTACGTGAAGAGCAGAAACACAAAATGCAGATCAAAGACTGCTCTGTTTCTGTGAATGTTACATCGTGAATTATTTAATCGTTAAAAATTAAGACCTACGATTCGGAATGCTGTCCGTTTATCAATCTTAACCCAACAATTGTTACAAAACAAATAATGAGTGTTTTTTTTTGGTAGGTTTATTTTATGCGAGTGGGTGTTTATTGTGTCCCTGCCCCCAGCCCCTCCCCCCACCCTGCCCGCCTCTTCTGGGATGCAGAATATCACATTTTCATATTTTAGTTGCTATTGATGTGCAAAAATTGAGTCCCATAAATTCTGACTGTTCACTGACAAAGTTGCCCTTTGTCCGTCATAAATATGCATGAGTCTGAGGTTTATGTGAGTTTTGAATCAACATATGTCAAAACTCATTTTCATACCCTTCACTGTTTATCCATCTTCAAGTCAGCCTGAGTTTATGTCAATTGTCAGACTGCAGTTTGAGGGTATGTCAGCATCACTCCTGTTTATCTCCTGGTAAGAAGTCATTTGAATATTACCTTTTTCCATGGCAGAGAGAGAGAAGACCTTATCAATGTCATTTTGTGGTTCTATTTCCCGTCATCGTTTGCAGATTGATTCGCTTATTACTAAGGGAATAGAAGGTGTTTTTCGAAATACTTCTTCCATCCTGCACTGATCAAGATTGTATCCTAGCCAACCTGTGGGTCAGTCTGGCTCAGTTGGTAGCACTCTCGTTCCTGAGTCAGAAGCTTCTGGGTTCAAGCCCGAAGTTGGGACCTTTGAACTCACATTATCTAGGCTGACTCACGAGTACAGTGCTGGGGGAAGCACAGCATTGTTTGAGGTGCCCCACTTTGGATAAGATATTAAACCAAGGTCCCTTCCCCCTGTTCAGATGAATGAAAAAAAAAGAGCATTTCTCCCGTGACCTGGGTGAAAATTCCCCAAACAAAAATTGATCATTGCTGTTTGTGGTACATTGCTGTATACAAATTGGATGTTGTGTTTGACTGCAAATTATCCAACCACTGCACTTTAACATTTATGTGAAGGGTTTGAGATGTCCTCCTGACGGGAAAGGGACTGAATCAAATGCAAGGATTGTTATCATTTAACAGTGATGAGAACGGAACAGAGGGCTAGCAATCCAACTCAACCAAAACAACAACTTGCTAATAAAGTATAACAATATAATATATAATATAATACAGTATAGCACCCTTCACATGGGTAGAGTCTTAGAGCACTTAAGCCAATCAAGAATAATTATTAATAATGATAATAACCCATACATTTGATACAGCACCTTTCATGTCAGAAGGACGTCTCAAAGTGCTTCACAGGATTCACTGTTAAATGTAGTGACTGTGTTTTGTGGATGATTGGATTACCCATTGCTATCTGAGGGGGGGGCACCTCCATTTGATTGCCAACCTAGACTGAGCTCAAAATCCCCTGCATGGGCTTTGAGCCCACAATCTTCTGACTCAGAGGCGAGAGCACTACCAACTGAGCCACACTTAACATTAATTAATTAGTAACAGTGTGCCAGTATAAATTGACGATAAACCACACACCAGAAGTAAGAACAAAATGAGTTTTATTTCTATCAATTGAGATGAAAGCTGAAGCTTTTACTGATCAAATTTTGCACATGAGCTCCATGACATCAGTGCTTTAAATCAACGTTACATTTTAGGTAGAGCTCACAGACCACTCAAGATATTACTCACGGAATTTTATCTATTTTCAGAATGTGACACTTTTATAACTTTGCTCTGTAAAGATGTCATACATTAATTATTGTACCCTTCACATGTTTCCATTCTTTGGCGCCGTTCGATCGCAAAATTGTTGATGTTAATCTTAATTCTCTGACGGTTCAGTTGGTAAAATTCAATTGTCTGAAGTGAAACGGAGCCATGCAGACCAGAGTAGCCCCATGTTTGATCCACGGGCAGTGTTGTGTAGGCTGATCTCAGCTCAGCTGTACACCTCAGATAGACATCTTGTATTTTTTTCCAAAATAAATCCCAGGTCCTGGCCTCAACTCTCCTTCCTGGTAACCTGTTCTGGTCAGAGTAAGGAAATACTTCCTGGCATCTATCCTCAAATTGCCCCTTGCATTTCTATAGGAATTGGGAACTCAAACTATTCGCCTTCTTGTGAAGTTGGGGTATTGAGCCCTATGGTATCACCCTCAGCAGTGCCTTTGGCTGAGATCCAGTAACTCTCAGCAGATTAGGACTCAATCCTGCAGCTCTCTAACAGGGATGACCTAGTGACCCTCCAGCCAACATCGCTACCATCAGGAGAATTCCTCAAACCTTCTTCTTTTCTGCAATCCAGGCACTTGGAGAATTCTTATTTCCGCTTGCGTGAGATGCAGCCTTTTCATTCCGCTGAAAGTTCGGAGTGAATGATATTGCCACTGAGCCTTCACAAATCACACTCTGATGATGATGCCATTTATGGCTCTCCAAAAACATATATACATATAATTCAGAGTCGGGATGGGACAGCACTGGGGGGGGGGGGGTTGCTTTCCATGGCAATCCCCTCTAAACAATTACGTCATTTACTCACAGCTCTTGTCAAAGCCACGGTGGCTGACCTGAGGTGACAAGAGCAGAATATTCCTGTGACTGACAAACAATACAGAGGACAGTAAGTTTAAATGGGAGAAGTGGTTTCTACCTAAAGGGCAATTCACGAATGGAACAGGAATTAACGAGGCCAGGGACTTGTTTACAAAACAGCTTGATGCTGTGATGGGAAGCTGGGAATGTTCTGGAAGGATGAGATCAGATGGTCCAAAGCGTCTTCTTCATCCAAATGAATGTTGTGAGCTTGTGTGAGCTTGATTCATTTCCCTCCCTCAACCCCTTCTCCTCACTCCCTCCTTCCCCATCTTCACGTTGCACCTGAAGACCTTCCTCTTTGACCACGCCTATGGTCACCTCCCCTTGGCTAGGCCTCGGTTTTCGCCATTGTGAAGCGCTCTGAGATGCCGCCCGGCGCTATATAAATGAAAGTTGTTGTTGTTGTTGATACTTACTCTTTAAAGTGTTGCCCCAGGTTTGTAATGAAACTAGTTCAATATTAATATCTGGAGCAGAGCATAATTGATAGGAATGTGCACAAATTGGATGTCCCATTTCACCCACAAATTGTACAGTCAATTCACTTTACAGCATATTCTCTGAAGGGCTTTCAGACGTCTCAACGACGTGATAAGGCACCATATCAAATGCAAGGATTATTATATGATTGTAAAGAATGCATTTTTTTTTCTTTTTTACACTCAATTTTCCCTATTTCCTCCATAGTAACTCAAGCGGGTGTGGCACAGGGATACAACATGTGTCCGGATCCAGGGATTCCTGAACGGGGGAAACGGATGGGTTCCAATTTCAGGTAGGGAGCCAGCAGATGTTCAATCCCATGCAGCTGATTGTGCCTTAATGTGTCTGAACCTCGTTTTCAAGTATTTGTCAGATTGCTTCTGAAATGGATGCTATTGCGTTTGGTCGGGCACGGGAACTGGCGGCGAAATAGATCGCAAAAAAAATAAACATTACATGTTCCGTACGAGCAAAGGATTCACTCAATCCACTGCATTTGGTGAAATCTTCGTGGCTACACAAAAATGCCCTGTGGCAACTGTATCTTTGAGGATGTTGTGTCAAATGGACGAATCTTCAATAGTTTTTTCAGGGCTGGGTGAAGTGAAATTTGGTACAATTCATGAGATGATTGAGAATTTAGTCATTTATGTGGTTGGGTTTTTTGGCAGCATGAACATTGCATTGAATTGCATTGAGTTCTGTAGCTCAGTGGTTAGAGCACTCGCTTTGCAAGTGAGAGACCTGAGTTCAATTCCCGGCAGAGGGCGAAACCTTGGGCAAGTTTCCTTACTCCACACAGAGCCTAATAATAATCCCTCCAAAACCCAAAACAATAATAAATTGGTCATTTTCAATCTACGACTGTTTGTGGGACATTGCTGTGCGCAATTGGCTGCCACGTTCGCCCACAAATATACAGTCAATTCACTTTACAGTCTATTCTGTGAAGCGCTTTGGGACGTCCTCCCGACGTGAAAAGCGCTATATCAAATGCAAGGATTATTATTATTATTATTAAGTGGTCAACCTGACTCAGCTGGTAGCACTCTCACCCTGAGTCAGAAGATTGTGGGTTCAAACCCCACACCCCCTCCCCCATTGGGATTCTGATCACACAGCTTAGGCTGAAGGAGGAGACATGCATTGTTGGAGGTGCTGTCCTTTGGATGATACGTTAAACTGAGGTCCTGTCTGCCTGTTTAGTTGGACGTTAAAAGGATCATAATTTGAGAAGAGAAATGAGTTTATCCCAGTGTCCAGGCCAACAAACCATCAAATGAAAAAAGATTGGTGATTCAATTCCTGGCTGTTTTAAGGGGACATTACTATGCACAGTTGGGTTGCCAAACGCACCTACAAGTACACAGTCACTCTACTTCCCAGTAAATCCTATGAAGCATTTTGGGACATCCTCCTATTGGGAAAGTTGCTGTATCAAACGCAAGAATTATTTATTGTTATAAACACCAGCCTCCCATCACAGCTTCAAGCTGTTTCCGTTTTAAATAAATTCCATCCAGGGATCTGACCTCAACCAACTTTCCTGTCCTGGCTGGTCACCTGTTCCCAGATTCCTCTAATTCCTCCTGTGGGCACCAGTTGCAGCAGCAGTACACTTTGCTAATGCGGCGAGCTCTCGCCAGTGTCTCGTTCTCCATCCTCAGAGTAAGTGGCAGCTAATTTTGCAGAGAAGTGATGACCCTGGGCCTCCCATCAGATGTGATTAGTGTCAGGATGCTGCTCAGTGCAATGCAGAGCAGCCAGCCTGGATCTCAGCAGCTTTGTCGATTTCAGTGAATAACATCCTTTGTGGTTTCCTTCCTTCTTGAGAGAGAGAGAGATCAGTTATTGTTTTGGGTGTGACAATGTACAACAAAAACTTCCCTTTGTGTATCGCCCTTCACAATAGGTAGAGTCTCGGACAGAGTACATCAGCATCTGTTCTGTGAAGCGATTGCATTTCCTGTTTTATTTATTTCAGAGTTCCAGCATTTGAACATAAAAACATAAGAATTAGGAGCAGGAGTAGGCCATTCAGCCCCTCTAGCCTGCCCCGCCATTCAATAAGATCATGGCTGATCTATTCTAACTCCACCTACCCGCCTTATCCCCATATCCCTTAACCCCTTTATCCATAAGAAATCTATCAATCTCAGTCTTGAATATGTTCAAGGACTGAGTATCTACAGCCCTTTGGGGTAGAGAATTCCATAAATTCACTACTCTCTGAGTGAAGAAGTTTTTCCTCAACTCAGTGCGAAAGGGCTTACCCCTAATTTTAAGACTGTGACCCCCGGTTATAGTTTCTCCAACTAGGGGAAAAAGTCTCCCACTATCTATTCTGTCGTGCCCCTTAATAATCTTATAGGTTTCTATAAGATCACCTCTCATTCTTCTATATTCTAGAGAATATAGGCCTAAATTGCTCAACCTATCTTCATAACTCATCCCCCTCATCGCTGGTACCAACCCAGTGAATCTACATTGTACCCCCTCCAAAGCGACTACACCCTTTCTTAAATAAGGAAACCAAAACTGCACACAATACTCTAGGTGTGGTCTCACCAGAGCCCTATACAGTTGCAGCAAGACTTCCCTACTCTTATATTCTAACCCTTTTGTAAGAAATGCCGACATACTGTTCACCTTCCTAATTGCTGCTGCACCTGTAAACTAACTTTTTGTGACTGGTGTACAAGGACACCCAAGTCCCTCTGAACGCTAACACTATCTAGTCTCTCCCCTTCTAAAAAATAATCTGCTCTACTGTTTTTCCCACATAGGTGGATGACCTCACACTTCCCTACATTATACTTCATCTGACACCTATTTGCCCACTCACCTGCCTATCTATATCTCGTTGCATTTTTTTAATGTCATCCTCGGTGTTTACTCTCCCGTCTAGTTTAGTCTCATCCGTGAATTTGGATATATTAAGTTCGATGTCCTCATCTAGATCGTTGATGTAGACTGTAAATAGTTGAGGCCCAAGCGCTGATCCTTGTGGCACTCCACTAGTCACATCCCGCCAATCTGAGAAGGACCCGTTTATCCCTACTCTTTGTTTTCTTCCAAAAAAATTGCAGTTTTTCTTCTAATCACTCACGCACTTCCTTCTATCTCTCCTCCTTTTCTCTTTTTTTCTCTCTTTTCTCTCTCCTTCCCCCTCTCGACCTCCTCCCTCTCTTCCTCCTCCGTCTCTCCTGCTTATTTACCTCTCTTCTTTCTCTCTCCCTCCATCTCCTGTTCTTTCACTATTCTATTTCTCCTTCCCCCCCATCGTTTTCTTTTCCCTTCTCTCATCTTTCATTCTCTTTTTTATCTCTCTTTCTCTCTCCTTTCATTTCTTTCTCTCTCCACTCTGTCTCTTTTCCTCTCCTTCTCTCATCTCTTTCCTTCTCTCACTCTCGCTCTCTCTCTATCTCATCTTGTGAATGAATCACCTGTATAACCTCTGAGATATACAAGTCAGAATGCTTGATGTAAGCTATTTGTAGTCAGGTTGTAGGTAAATGATGGAAACAAATTCACAGAGCAGAGATTTCGGACACCTTCCCTCTGACCTTACTGAATCATATTTTCTGACCTGCTTTGTCAGTCAGTCCCTCTGCGAGAGTCCAAACCCTCCTCTGGTGATGACGTCCCATCTCATATCATCACAAACTATCGATAAATTGGTTGGTGCGTGAGCAATCAAGAGAACTATACAAGTGTTACATCGTTCGGTTCATCTATTTTAGCCATGTGATCCAATTCCACTCTCCTGCTCACTCTCATTCAGTTTCATAGTATTCCTTTTCCAGCATCAAGTTGTTCAGATTTGGAATGCATTGCCTGAAAGGGTGGTGGAAGTCCATTCGATAACAATTTTCAAGAGAGAAGTAGATAGACTTTCGGTGAGGACAAATTTGAGGGCTATGGGGATAGAGCGGGGGAGTGGAACTAATTTGGACAGCTCTTTCAAAGAGCTGACACAGACAAGATGGTCCAAATGCTCTCCTTCTGTGCTGTATAGTTTTATGATTCTATGATCAATGCCATTCCCTGTCCGAATAATTCATGGACTCAGCTTCAACAGTGGTTTGTGGTAGCAAATTCTACATTCCCAGCACCTGCTGAGTTCCAAACACAAATCCTTCCTTATTCATTATTGTTCAGATTACCTGAAATGTGTACCGTCTTATTACTGACTCACCGAACAACGGATATAATCTAAACCTATTCACCTTGCCTCCCCTACCGCATTATAATCTTCAAGGCCTCCATCAGGTCCTTCTTTGATCTGCTCAGATCGAGTGGGGAAAAATGGCCCCAATTTTTTAAGTCTCTCTTCCACTTGTTGGTGAGTCCACAACAATGGATATAAATATAAGACAACCACTAACAGACCTAAAAGGGAATTTAGGAGAAACTTATTCACGCAGAAGTGAAAAGGTGAGAATTTGGCCCAAAGCTGTGGTTGAAGCAGAAAACATCAATGTATTTAAGAGGAAACATGATACACCCTCAAGGGAGAAGAGAATGGAGGGATAAAGAAGAAAGGAATAATAATACTAATAATCCTTGGATTTGATATAGCACTTTTCCCGTCTTCTAGACGTCTCCAAACACTTCACAGAATATACTGTAAGATGAATTGGAGGCTTGTGTGGAAAATAAGCTTCATTCAGACTGACCATTGATTGGGTTTGATTCCTTAAGCAAGTTTCCTTAATCCACATGTCTCTGTTTACCTAGTAGTTAGTAGGAAACTGGTTATTAGTCGACTGGCAGTTCGCTTTCCGGGGGTAATAAATAATTTGGTCACTCAATCCATGATTGTTTGTGGGACACTAAATTGGCTGCTGTGTTTTGCCCACAAAATATACAGTTAATTCACTTTACAGTATATTCTGTGAAGGGCTTTGAGATGCCTCAATGACATGATAAGGCATTATATCAAATGCAAGTATTATTATTATGATCAGCTTTAAAATGATGCCTCATCCTAGTTATAAATGAAGAATAAAGTCAGTCAGGGCAGCCCAAGATCAGGCTGATCAATAAAACCTCCATGCCATAGTTGGTGCAAATTCCACTGAAACCCATTCCAGCCCTACATACGTTAATCCTTGACGATTCCATCTAAAATTCACAACTTCATCAAAGCTATTTTGAAGAGTTTGGGGGCATTTTTTTTGTCTGAAGTAAACAGTTTGATATAAATGCTGGTTGTTTGCACTTAAAAGATGCCCAGGAGATTTTTTACAGCGATTATGGTTGTTATTCATGCTCCTATTTCCCATGTCG